ATGCCGGTAGCTCACAAAGTAGAATGTTTGCTCACAGGACTCCACAGCTTAGAGGGAGCACTGGTTACAGCATGTTTTTATCTGTGAATTGTCAGTAATGATATCACTATTACGATTGATTAAAAAGACACAAAAGAAGTGAGCAAGCTTATGAATTGGTCCCAATTGGCTGGGTGTCAAGAAAATGAGACAAAATGGGGAAAGGAAGATGAAATAAGTCCCAGGAAGAGTCCTAAAATAAATATTAAAAGGTGTTGGGCAAACTCCTCTATTCTCCCATTTTTTTACTTAACATAGAGCCAGATGAATAGCACTGAGAAACTCAAAAGTTGCTGACTTTTTTGCGACTGTTAAATTGCCGTAATAAAGGTATTTTCTACACTTTTAATTTGGGATTTTTCCTCCCTAATGGACCACGATAGCTATCTACCAATTGTTGACACTGTAAGTTGATTCCCATAGAACAAAACTAGCAGATCATCATGTTCAACACACACACATACACATAAAGGTAAAGGTTTCCCTTGCTCCTTAAAAAAGGATTGCACATGCCCAAAGCAAACCTCCCAATCCAACATTTCTCCAAAGAGCAAAGGTGATTCTAGATTTGCAATTCTGTCATCCTCTTTTAAGACGATCCCCATTTACCTGCTGGGACTGCTACAACTAGGTTATGTATTTCTTCTGCTATTTTTATGTCTTCAAATATTTCCAACCTCTTTTTCCCCCTTCAGAAAGGGGGGGGGGGCAAGATTCACATAACATCATAAAAACCGCACTAGTATTCAAAACCGCCATAAAACAAGGGTCTGAAAGAGCCAAGACTCGAATCCCCACTCTGCCCTAGAAGGTGACTGGGTGACCTTGGGCCAGTCACACACTTTCAACCTGACCTCCCTCACCAGGTTGTTGTGAGGGTACAGTGCAGGAGAGGAGAATGGTGTAAGCCTCTTTGAGTCCCCATTGGGGAAAAAATGTGGGGTATAAATGCAGTAAATAAATAAATAATCCTTCTGCAGGAATAGACAAGAAAGTGTTATAGGGAATGTATTTGCCACACGACTTCATGCAATCAGGGGTCGTTTCGTAGAAAAAGAGCTAGGGGAACTCATTAGCATAACTCATTAGCATATGCCACACCCCCTGACATCACTGGAAGTGTGTCATAAGGCCACACCCCCTGACATCACCGGAAATGTGTCATAAGGCCACACACCCCGCCCCCAACAGTCCCGGCCGCCGGCGGCCTTGCAGCTCCACTGCCGAGCCCCATGAGTGGACCTGCAAGGCCGGCGGGACTGGAGTACAAGGAAGCCCCGCAAAGGCCCTCCCTGGCCCCAGGCAAGCAGGGGTGGGGAGAGGCAGGGAGGAAGCAACTTACCCTCCCTCTTCTCCTGCCTCCTCCTGGCTGAATGAGGGCCGGAAGCGGGCGGCCGGGAAGCAGGGGGCGGGGCTTCGCCCAGGCAAGCAGGGGTGGGGAGAGGCAGGGAGGAAGCAACTTACCCTCCCTCTTCTCCTGCCTCCTCCTGGCTGAATGAGGGCCGGAAGCGGGCGGCCGGAAGCAGGGGGTGGGGCTTCGTCATGTGCCCCGCCCCCTTGTACCTCACCCGGGGGAACTGCGTTTCCCCGCGTTCCCCCCCCGAAATGACCCCTGCATGCAATGCTGAAACACCTGCTTCAGAAGTCTGGACTGAGCAGGCTGTTGTAGTGCAAATGCTTTCTTCATTTATTGTGCAATTACCTTGGACCAGCTTCTGACGCAGATGTATTGGTAAACTGACCATAGTAGTGTTGTTTTTTTTAACATAAGCATTGTTAATTACATTTTTAACCTCACAAGGGATCTGGCTATATTTATTATAAACTAGCTACAAGTTGATCGATAACATTTCCTGCCTGAATAGGCATCTTGGGATGAGTACAAGGGAGGCCATTTAACATCTGCACTCGCTAACAATTTAAACAAAATGATATAAGGGCATCCCTAGAATTTCTCCAAAAGAAAAAAAAGTCCCAAACGTGACTGATGTACTAGTCATTCATTTACTTGATTTACCTCTCTAACAGAGGCTCAAGGCTGGTTTACTAGGGGCTAATAACAGAAAACATGCTTTGAGTATAAATACTTCAGGGTAACAGACGAACACCTCGTGCATTTGATGAAGAGAGCTCTGGCTCACAAAAGCTTTAGCCTGGAATAAATATGTTGTTGAAGGCTATTTACTGGAATAAATAGTTCTGAAGGCACCACTGGACTTGTTTAGACAATATGCCCTCTTTCTGGTGATTAGGGACTTGGGTCATTCACACTGGGTCTTCCTGTGGCAGCCTGTCCTGTGAAGTGACCCTTAACTCAACTCTCTGTCTTCTCCTTGGGAGAATGTTGAAGGAGCTGTTTATGAGCATGAATGATCTGGCAGGGCATTTCACTCCCCCCCCCACAACTCCCACAGCTGAACCACGGACAGGTGTCTGAATTCCCACCTCAGATGATGTCCAGCCCCCCCCCCCAGGGGGTGAGGGTTTCTTCTCAGTCACAGTACACAAAAAAATCCCAGGTTAAGAGCGTGACCTGAGGCACTGTCAGGCCCTTGGAATCTGGATGAGATACAGGATTGTTGAAAGGGAGAAAGGCAGAGGAATGTTGCAGGGGGGGGGAACCCAATAGGAGTCTTGTGGTACTTTAAAGGCTGCCAGATTATGGCATAAATGTTGGTGGGTTAGGACTCACATCAGCTGATGTGTGAAGAGAACTGTCAGCCAGCAGCAAAAGGTTTCTGTTGTTTTAATGTGAATAAATAGCACAGCAGACATCCTTGGAAAATTGCTTTTATTTTCATCCACACTTCAACTGTGCAGAATTCTTAATAACCCCAAAGGAAAGACTGAAAGAATTAAGCTTGTATTTAAAACACAATGGAGATCAGTAACATGGTATGCTCTGTGAATTGTGGGTACTTTTGGACATCCGTGCCCTTTGCACAAACCCTGGGTTTTTTTGGGGGGGGGGGGTTCACACTCCTCTTTGCCGCCTCCTTCACCCAACACAAGGGAAATTCCACTTTCACTGAGCACTAATCAGCTGTAGCCTTTTTTCACAGGACAGCTCCTTCCATTCAGGCAATGCACAGAGGGGGAGAGCAACTGCTCTGGACTTGCCCTTGTGATGGCCAACCTGTGAGTTCGACGCCAATGCTCGGAAGAAGTGTACACTCATAGCTGCCATCCCACTAATCAGAAACGTTTGAAAAGCAGCATCCCTGATCATGGAGAGGGGGGTATGTGTATACACTTCCTGCATACATAGATGTTGCGCTCACAAAGCACAGCAGAGGGAAGCAGTAGGACCGAGCCCAATGCACATGTGCCTGCTCTCTGCTTTCTGACTGAATGTGGAAAAGGTGATCACGTATAGAGATCTAGCGACAAACACCAGTAAGCCATGACACCCAAATGCAGACCGTAAGACTAACAGAAGTTTGTTTTTCCCCCTCCCCATCTGAGATTTTAAACTGGGATTAAACCACGGTTTAGAATCTTGGTTTGTGGGGAGTAAACAAACTCCAGTTTGCACCACCAGCTTTCAGATGTCTCAGCAAATTGAATGCTTCCCATCATGAACAAATAGAAGTGATGTTTGATTGCAGCCAAACCTGTGTTCCATCCTAACCAATCTGAAACCTACTGGACCAGCAGTGGGCATTCAAAATGCACAGGAAGAGGTTTGGCCTAGAAAAAGCCGACTATATTTGGGGTAGAACCTTTACCACTGAAAGAACAGAATGGAGAAGATGGTAGAGGAGATAATCTCTCATGGTCATTTCTAGTTCTATCTCTATAGCTGGTTGGAGAATTTTCCTTTATGATGCTTTAAGTAAAATTTCCACTGCTAGCACCCAAACAGTTTGTCTGGAGTTGTGAAGTCTACCACCAGAAGTCTTTAAGAGCAAGTTAAACGACAATTTGGCTGGATTTGTTGCCATCCATGCAGCTGGAAAGGATCTTTTGTGGTCATTTTCAGGATCTTTGGAGATGCATAGTTCTGTTTAAGGTGCTTTCAGGAGCATTTCTGCTGCCAGCAGGAAGTTGGGTTGGATAAGACATTAGGTTCTTCCTGATGAGTCAGCGATCCCTGTTATAATGGGAACTTAAGAAAATCCTCCTGGTTCCCCAAAGAACTGATCCCAGTCTCCTGGGAAGGAACTTAACAGCTTTATTTATATATTATAAAACTTGGGCCTACAGACCCTAACTGCAACAACGTCAAGAGCCATCTTAACACCGTTCCTGCTGCTTCTCAGACACCACCAGGAGGCCAATGGCCTCTCCTACAAACATTATCTCTTTCGTTATCTGTATCATTCCTGTAACTCTTTGCCACAATCCCAAACTTTACTGCCCTGCAAAGCCACACACCTCAGCCCATTGGGGGACTCACAGGCAACCCCCATATCTTGAGCACCTTTAATCACCTCAGGCAGTATTTCACGGCCTCCTTAAAATCACCATAGCTAATTAATGCCAAGGTCTTTATCGACCACTTTTTCAACACTGGAGGTTGTCGGTGGGCCTGCCACTCTAAGAGACCTTAGAATCAACCATTTGCCTATGTGTTCTGTACAAAATACAGCACTGTCAATGTACACCCTGAGAATCTCTGTACGCAGGAACAAGGACATTTCATTCTTAATAGTGGATGGCCTGTGGGACCACATTTCTGGGAGGATCCACTTCAGGGCAGGTTCTTGTGTGAAAGAGGTGTCCCTACCACAACCCTGCCCTTCTGCCTTCTCCTCTGATATTCAGTCTGTGGATAAAATCCTAGAAGGGCCAGAGAAACAGCTTGAGCTCCATGTGGTGAGGAGTCCCTTTTGTTGTAGATACGATGCTCTGAACTGATATCTGTCCCGCCCTCAGTGTCTGTGGCAAGAGGAGAGGGTCTTGGGGAGCTCTTGTCTAGAAGGCCTGTTGATCAGTCAGCCAAGGAAGTCCCCCAAACATCAGTTGCAGCCACATTCCTCTATGATCATGTCTTCATGATGACGCAGCATCACCTCCCCTTTCTCATAGTACAACATGGACAGTGGGCTCATTTTGACTGGGGCACAGGCTGGGCAAGGCACTCGATGGGGCTGGTATAACTTCAGCAAACTCTGTGAGGAACAAAGGAAGGGGAAATAGCACATTAGCTGCAAGAAGTCGTATAAATATTAAGAGATTACTAAAGGACAGACTCCCAGTCAAATGGAGACAGGATCATGGCTCAGCGGCAAAACACTTGTTTTGCCTACCTCTCCAGTTAAAAGAATCATGTAAGAAGTGATGTGAAAGACCCCCACATAAGATCTTGGAAAGCCACTGCCAGTCGGACTAAATAGTACTGATCTTGAGAGACCAACAGTCTGACATAGTATAAGGCATTAATGTGTGTTCAGGTCTCAGCCACGTGCCACGTTTAGACAGCTCTGACAGCCCTCATCTTGTTTACTCACTCTATCCAAGCCCCCTTCCCCTGAATGGGGAATGATTGAAGGTCTTTCTGATTTGAGAAGCCTTGAATTAAACCCCAATTCATCAGGGCATCCAAATGTACACACCTGGATCTTGTTTCCTCTCCAGAAACTGGAATTTACAACTGTGGTAATCCAAATGTACACACCAAGATCAACTGGATCTTGTTTCATCTCCAGAAACTGGAATTTACAACTGTGGTTTAATTTCTGTTTAGAATCTTAATTTGTGGGGAGGAGAGAGACCCCATCTTGCTCATGTTTCTGCATTCAGGTATTATAGCAAATTGGACTACGTTTTGAGGATTAAAAGCATGTGGAATGATATGGTATAGCCCAGTCTCATAAACTAAGCAGGGTCGGAACTTTCATGGAAGGCTCCACAGAGGAAGGCAACGGCACATCATTTCTGCTTCTCACTTGCTTTGAAAACCCCTTGCTGGGGTCATCATAAGTTGTACGTAGGTACAGATGAGAATAAAATGGAGAAGGGCAGAGAACTATTTATTTCACCCTGACCTCTGTGGAGCAAGGGCAAAGTAAATAAAGTACAAAATGAATAAATGCAATCCTTCTCCCTTAAGTGATTTCACTGCCAATCTAGGGGTGTCCAGAAAGGGGGGGGGAGAGACTCCAGCAAAGTGACAAACTTTTCCCCCATTCCAGCATTAACAACACGACTGGGCTGAAGGGTCAACTTTAATGGGCAAAACAGTGTGTGGTGAAGCTTAACCTCCTCCTCCCCAGCATTCTGGCCATGATCTAAACTAGAGTCCTATGCAGCAGCTATTTCCCTTTTTAAAAGGCCAGGAAGATTTGAATATGGAACTTCCAGTGTTTTGTCTGGTGTGGACTCTCAGCCATCATTAAATTTCTCCTTCCCTATACTTTTGCAGACCCATTTTCCGCCTCCCAAAGGCTGCAAAAAATACCCATGAAGTGTAGTTGCCTCCTACCTGAATATATGCATGATTGGTTGGCTTGAAGGTCTCATCCACAGGTGATGGGCAGTCTCCGTCGCAGCGGTATGCGTTGAACTTCTTGGGGTACACAATCCAGCTTCCCCAGCCAGTCTGTTCAAAGTCCACCATCATATCTACTCTCTTGCACAGAGATCGGCCTTCCTCTCCAAAGCTGGCGGTGGACTGATCAGTCTCTTTAATCCTTTGCTTTTGCTTTCTGTTCCGCCGATGCCGCCGGCCCCCGATTTCTTTGGAAGTGTTGTTGTCCAACATGACGTGCTTTGACATCTCCACCGTCCTGATGAGACTCGGAGCAGGAGAGGAAGCAGCTGAGAACTTATCTTTGGAAAAGATAACAAGAAAGACTCTATCGGCCACACTGTGGGTCACCATACCGCACTGTGACTCGCTGGCGTCATTATGCCCAGATTTATCCTGGAACAAGCTGGCTGCTCCTACATCGTTGTTCTCAGAAGGGTCCTCCTCCTCCCAGTTCTGAACATCTGGATCGTCCTTATCATCACTAGAAATCACAACTTGGTGGAGCCAGAAGCGGAGCATGCTGGTGATGTTAAATACCTTCCAGGGAGAATGGCTGAAGGAGGAAGAGCTGATAAAGGAGCCAAGGAAGAGTTTGTCTGTGCAGGTCTGATTCTCATGACAGGTGTGCCTGTGGCTATGGTAGATGCTCACAGTGACGTTTCTTGCCTGAGAGAAGGGCAGCAGATGAACCCGGAGCTCTGCCAATCTCACTTCGTGGTTGCTGGAAATGGAGGTCATGTCAAAAAAGAAGCACCACTGATCGTCAATCTGGAAAGAACCTGGAAGGTAGGAAAAAAGAACATTGGGGGAAAGGGCTTGAGTGGAGAAAAGCAATGGCTTAACACTTTAAAGCTTCTTATCAGTCTTTGGACACCAAGCAGTGTTTACTGAGAGATCGAACAGAAAGATTCCAGTGTGGGAACCTATGAAGGCCAGTGTATGCTTCTGGACCCATGGAGCATAAGAGCATGGTAACATGCATTCTGAGAGGGGGACCACTCTATTCTAGCAGCCTTTTGTTCATACAGCCTCCTTTCCAGATTAAACTCAAGATGGTTTTACCTGTTTACTACTCCATGCATAGTGATGACCGGCTGGCATCTCTGACTCCATAAACCTACCTCTCCAAAGCAGTTTTTTGACTTTTAAAAAAATCTCTCTGCACACCTGGATTTGAATTTGGGAGTCATTGCTAAGTTCTTGGCCAGTGAAAAGGCATGATCGCTAGCCATGGGCATGCCATTATCTCTCCGTTTAATGTACTTCATAAGGAAAAGGTTAAATTTAACATATTGTAAATTGCAGCAAATTCTAGGGAAGGATTCTAAGGGCACTTCAAAAGCAGGCGCCAACCTACCCAAAGTTAGCCATGACTGAACTGTTCCATAGGCAAGCATATCCTATTGTAGCAGAATGCTAACTGGATTTACCAATGGGAATGATAATAGCCTATTATTAACAACTATTTTTATTAATTATTTATCCTAATAATAATCTTATTATTCTTGCATTTAAAACTGTTAAGTGTTATGCAAATATTTTAAACATTTTAACAATTCTTAGTTCCCAGTGGCAGCCAAGAACATACACATTTATTATTTATTTTACTTAGTATATTTTTATGCCACCTTTCCACCTAATCAAGGTTTCCCAAGGCAAGTAAACTTTATTTATACCCCACCTTTCTCCCTAGCAGGTCACCCAGTGAACTTCCTTGGCAGAGGGGGGATTCAAACCTGGGTCCCCCATATCCCAGCCTGACACTCTAACCACTGTACCACGCTGGCTGTCACATATTGCAGGATGCAATCTGAATATACTAATAATGTAAAAAGAATACTTCCTTTCCAAGGCCTACTTCTTTTTGAGAAACATACTTTTGACATAAGGCAAGAGAATCTTAACAGAGCTGAAGTCCCACTGAAATCAGATGGGCTTAATGGCATAATTATGCATTTAAATCCCGTTCGTTCTCTCTGGACAAGGGGCATTGACAGCCTTTGCAATTTACAGCCAAAAGAAATCCACAATCTAGAAAATTAATTCAGAGAATCATAGAATCATAGAGTTGGAAGGGACCCCCAGGGTCATCTAGTCCAACTCCCTGCACAATGCAGGAAATTTACAAATACCCCCCCAAACACACACAGTGACCCCTGTGGTATCTGGCAGCATCACCTCCACACCACCTGCACAAGCAACTATTTATATCTATGCAGACATGAATGTGCATGGCGCTATAGAAAAGGAAGAGGGGTCCCCACTTACAGTAGTTTAGAAGCAACTTATATATACAGGTGAATTACTTCATTTACACCACAGCTTCTCCTCAATGGGGACACCAAGCAGCTTTCGTGATTTTCCTCTCCATTTTATCCCCACAACAACCCTACGAGGTAGGTTATGCTAAGTGTGTGTGACTGGCCTAAGGTCACCCAGCAAGTTTCCATGGCAGGGAGTGGATATGAACTTGTGTCTCCCAGTTCCTAGTCTGATACTCTAACCACTACATTGCATTGGTTCCCAAAACGTACAATACTTATAGTATTATATTAGTATAGTAGTCATTCACTTTTTCTTTTTTTGTTTGCTATGGCACTATTAAAATGATAAAACTTTTAAAACAGACTAAAATATGACACCAGAGATACGAGTTATCTGTTGCTGGGCGACCAGTCCGACTCTACCCCAGAGGACCTGGATCGGGTGCTTCAGGATGTGGTGGGCTGGCTGAGACTGAGGCGATTGAAATTGAATCTGACGAAGACGGAGGTCCTGTGCCTAAGTCGGACCAGCTCAGGATTAGGGATCCCACTACCAACCTTCGATGCGGTGCTATTGGTGCCAGCGCCGGAGGTTAGGAGTTTGGGAGTGCTCTTGGATGCCTCCTTAACAATGGAGGCCCAGGTAGCAGCCACTGCCAAGGCAGCCTTTTACCATCTAAGGCTGATTAGGCAGTTGGTTCCCTTCCTCGAATGCAATGACCTGGCAATGGTGATCCACGCAATAGTCACCTCGAGATTGGACTACTGCAACGCTCTCTACATGGGGCTGCCCTTGTCCCAGTGTATGCATTTGTATTTTATGGCATTTTAATCTATGTACACCGCCTTGAGCCTGCATGCGCAGGCAAGGCGGGATAAAAATCTAAAATAATAAGTAATAAAGGAAGGAGAGAGTGAGATAAACAGGAAAAGAGCCTGTTTCCCTTTTTGTTCCAGGTGCTTAGACTTAATTTCAGTGATGGGGGGGCTAAGGAGTTGTGCTAAAGGAGAAAAATAAAGCTATAGGCCTTCAAGATAATCATCAACACATACCATTAGTTAATTGGTTAATTAGATCATGGATGATAAAAAGACCAGAGGGATCTAACTCTCATTACATTTCATTGTTCTTTTGTCCACTAACACCCGCCAGTTCTTTTGATATAAAAGCCTTTGTAGAATGCTTGGAAAAAGTTCACACCCATTAAAGCTTTTGAAGTGCTGACAAAATACTGAGGAGAAAGTGCTGGTATTGTCTGTGTACAATCATTTTCGGCACTTGTGAGAAAGAAAGCAAAAGGGAGCAAATCCACATTCACATGTATACATGGTGAAGAAGTTCGTATCTCCTGTGTCTTCTGAGAGACCTTATAACCCAAATTGCGAACATACAAACATTGTTTTGGCCTTTCTGAGACCCGCAATCCTTACCAGAGTTGGCAGCATTTTGTGGAAGTTGTGGTGTTGTCTTCTCTTTCACCTACCCTCACCTTCTCTCATCCTTTCAGTGAGCAATTTATGGCTAATTTTAAAAGACCCAAAATGTTGCCTTCTGTCTTCCCACTGAAGGCAGAGGTCTGAGTTATATCTCGTGGTGTGATTTTCTTGATAATTTTTAAATAGATTGCAGCCACAGGGGGGCGCAATTTAAAAGGGAAGGACTGGTATTAGGACCCAAGTCAAGGCAATTCTGACAACCAAGGCCTAGAAGTCCGAGGGGACCTGGCTCAGCTGTAGATCCAGTGCATGAACTCACAATGCACAAAAATTATAGATTTTGTTAATCTAAAAGGTTCCAGTGGACTTCTGTTTAATTTGGGGGCAAAAAACACAGCTACTCCTCTGAAATGTTGTGTTGATGTTATTTCACAATTAAAATACATTTCCCTCCCACAGCTGATATGATTGTATGTATTGGATGGTATGGGATGCTGAGGCGTGGATGTTACAAGTTTGTATCAGGCTGACAGGAATATTGTTCAGGGCTTTATAGGTGTATAGGGGGAGGGGGTTGGGAGTCGACTACTTAACTCTCTTTGTGCAATAGAACAAAGTTTGAGTCCAGTGGCCCCTTTAAGACCAACAAAGTTTAATTTCGGGTATAAGCCTTTATGTGCATGCACAAAATGTGACTGACTTTTACTGCAGAAGGCACATGCTAGTTTCTGGATCACGCAGAGTACTTCATCACACAGAATGGCAAAGTAAATGATACTCAAATGATGAAAAGGCCACTTATAAACGCTTTAACTCTTTTGACAAAATTCCATCAATTGTCACCTAATTCAAAAACATTTTTCACTTCAAACAGCAGGGTAGGTAGTGGGTTATTGACCTCATGACCTGAATGTTCCCCTAGTTTTTGGTCATCTGACAGGATGAAGCCAAAGAGAGGAAAGAAACCCTACCTTTTCTTTTTAAATGCTTCCACACAGAGACTTACCTGGCACCAAATACATATTGTAGGTAGATTTACCAACAGCCTAGAGAAAAAAGTGCTCTTTTAATAGAGGGTTACCTCACCTGCCCATTTTCAAGCATTAAGCCTCCATTAATATGACTGGACATTTTTTCTCCAGGTTGTTGGCAACCCCTAAACATAGTTCTTTAATAACTGTCCTTGTGTTCATCAAAGGATAGCATACGTGCCTCTCTCCTCTGTCATTTTATTCTCACAACAGCCCTGTCAGGTAGGTTAAGGTGTGAGACAGTGACTATCACAGCATACCCTTTCAGAAGAAGAGTAGTGAAACAGATTGCTAGTGGAATAGATTGCTAGTCCCTGGCATGCCACAGTTCTAACCTGAGAATCCTCTACAGTTTGGGGGGGTGGGGGTGGACATCCAGTGCAGAATCTTGAGGCTCATTAAAGAATGGTCCAGTCCCAGAACTGATCTGAATGCCCTTGACCTGGCTAGTCCAGGGAAGCCCAATCTCCTCAGGTCCTAACCAGGGTCGGCAGGATAGTCCAGGCAAGCCCGATCTCGCCAGGCCCTTGGATGGGAGACCTCCAAGGAATACCAGGGCCAGGACAGAGGCAGGTTATCAAGCCACCGCTCTGAAACGTCCTCGCCCCACTAGAGGTCGCCAGAAGTCACAGTTTCAGGATTTGTGCCTCACACGTCCTCGCCCCACTAGAGGACGCCCCACTCGAGGCCGCCAGAAATCACAGTTGTAGATTTGTGCATCACCGTGACTTCCAGGCTCGCAAGCACGCGCGCACAAACGCACAAAATACTCACACACACACCCCAAAAAAAGAACGGTTCTGCATGTCCAGAGAGCTGGACCAGAGAGCTGTAAAGAGTTAAGGAAGGAGAATCGCCGAGCACTATGTTAAATGCCATTTCCAGGAAATTATTGCCTCCTCCCTGCACACCCCAAACGCACACACACACCCCAAAAAAAGAACTGTTCTGCATGTCAGCATCCCAGTCCTGAGAGGTGTAAAGAGTTAAGGAAGGAGAACCGCGGAGCACTGCGTTAAATGCAATTTCCAGGAAATTATTGCCTCC